AGGAAAGAGAAGGATTCAACGTGGTGGGGTCAATGATAAATAAGTGATTTATACACAAACAAGAGTGATATTTTGCTAGTTAACAAAGTTAACAGATCTTTTAGCCTCATGGAATACTGTTGAACCTACAGCACTGTCTTGATTCTTTTGTGTGTGTGTTCTCTGCCTTGTAATTTTCTGTTATCACTATATCTACTTGTAAATCTTTTTTTTAATTCTGCTGCATTTAATGTCAAAGAGGTCTATCCTGAAGTCATTTTACTGTTGAGAAAATCCTGTAGCCATGATGTCCTATGACTGGTTTTTACCGAGTGTTTGTTCAGTACTTTTTACTCCATGCTTTAAAGCATCTCCTGTACTTCAGTGGCTTTTACCGATCCGCCAATTGCTAAAGAGGCCATGCTACAAACTGAAGCTAAGTGGATGACACACTCCTTCTCTGACTGCTTTGACCGTTAATAGCATCTGACAACTGTAGTTTTCATACATTTGGATTGAGGCTTTTTGGGTCCATGTTGGAAGGCAAAGGAAGTTTCCTGAAAATCCCATGGCAGCAGCTTCTCTGGGAACTTGTTTTTAAATCCAAAGACTTGAACCACATCCCCCTGCACATGAACATTTATTTCCATTCTCTCGTCTCCTCCCATATATTTCCATTGTGGCCATAAATGTCTGCAGGAAGTGCAGCTTAGAAAAAGCATTGGGGGAAACCAGGGTTGTCAATCACATGGGCCTGTTTTCTTCAATGGAAGGAAATGGATGATGTCTGGTCACCTGGAATGCTGGAATGACAGGATCAAACAACCTGGTGATCCTTTGCTGTTCTATTAGGAGCCAGCCTCCAACTGAATCCACCCCCTCTGCCCACAACTTTCTGAGCATTGTTTATGCCCTAATGCTGGACTTTGTCTCTCACTGAATAGAACTTATGCCTATTACATATCCTTCCTCTCTAGACCCTAGCCCTAAATTCTGTTTGTCTGTCAATAGAACTCATTCTTATTGTAAAGGTCACAGGTGCTTTACTATTTGGCAAGGGAATTTTGATGTAGCTAGCCCTGAAGCTTTGTTTTGAGAACTGTCATTTGGAGACTTTTCCCCCAAAGTTCTATTATATTTAAATGTGTGGAAAAACTAAAACACAGGATCAGATCCTAGCTGTCTTGATCTTTCCAGTCTGACCAAGTCCGGCTGCACCGAGTGTTTTACTGTCTCTCCTCGGCCCACTCTCCTGCCGGTGCAGCCCTGCAGGAGTGCCTCAACAGATGTCAGCATCTTTAGAAGAGTTTGCTCATTTGTATTTCTGTTTCATATTCAAGAACTGGTGACGACATACTGTGGATGTAGTAGAGTATAAAACTTGAAAAACACGGGTGTTGAAGGAATAATAGGTATCTGTGTTTTACTGCTCTCCAGCAAGATTGTTGTAGAAGCAGAAAAACCAAACAGCTACGTCACTCACAAAGCTGGAATAACCAAGGTGAAAAGGAGAACTCCTAGACAGTGTCTTTCTATCATAACCTGGTATTTTAGAGAATGCTAGTGCTCTCTTCTAAACAAGATGTAAAACTCATTCCAAATTACTCTTTCTCTCTCATCTTGCCTGCCTAGAACTCATATGTAACTGTGATATAGCTATCTTCCCAGGTATGTTGGCAGGTATGTGTGTGTGATCTCAGAGCACACAGGTAATGTGATATGACCTATGACAACTGGTAATGGTGGATTCATTTACATTGTTTACATTTCTATGACCAGGCCTTAGGGGAAGGTCAGTTTTTTAAAAAACCAAGTAGTGTCTTCCTACCTGTCCCCAAATACGAGTCAAAACAGAAGGGTGTTTGCTTCAGCGTTGTTTTTTGCTTAGTAATACAGTCAGGCAAGAGTTTGTTTGCAAATGAAAGCTGTGTAAGCATTTTTGTTGATTTCAAATAAAATATATTTGTATTATTTGTCATTCATACTATCCATCCATGCTACACTATCTTCTGTGTCAGGTAGTCCAATAGAAATACACCTGTTTTATTCTAAAATTGTGTCTGTCCTTTCTGTCCTTCTGTCCTTCTGTCAGCCTTTGTTCTCAAGGTGAGACATTCAGCTATAACCATTTAATTTGTTGAATCTTCAGGGTTTCTGAAATTGTGCCCTACTTTCAACTACTGTGGACTCAGTAAACATGCAAAGACTTGTGAAGAACAGCTCCTTTTTAGGTGTGAATAAGGTCTCTGAGGCTGAGGCAGGAGGCAGGAGGCCTGCTGTGAGTTTGAAGCCAGACAGGGCTACATAGTGAGTTGCAGGTCAGTCTAAACTACAGTGAGGCCATTTCCAAGAAAAAAAGGTGGGGGTGGGGGTTGGAGGGGAGCTAGAGAGATGACTCAGCTCTTAAGAGTGAATACTACTCTTCTTCCAGAAGACTCAGTTCTGTTTCCAGCACTCATGTCAGGCGGCACACAGCCACCTGGAACTCCAGTTCTAGGGGCTCCAGCACCTCTTCTGGCCTCTGGGCAATTGCACACATGTGCGTACACACAAACACATACAAAGATATTTTAAAAAATAACCACTAGGGAACCCGGGCATGGTGGTGCACACTTGATCCCAGCATTTGGGAAGCAGAGACAGGCGGATTTCAAAGCAAGGCTGGTCTAAGATTGAGTTCCAGGACAGCCAGGACTACACAGAGAAATCCTGTCTCAGAAAAAAGGAAAGAAAAGAAAAACCACAAATAAAAATAAATGCTAGGAGTTTTATTAAAAAACAAAATTTAAATCTTACCACTCTCCACCCAAAAGCTACCAGTGACTCAAAGATTGTGTTGCGGATTTTCACCAGTGTCAAAAAGAATCTCGGTTATGAAAGACAGGGCCTAAGTGTTTGCACTCACTAGGCAGGAGGTAAAACTGGAAGGATTCCCACAGCTTAAACCTGAGTACTATTTCACATTGGCTTGCCTTAGTGTTTTTCTCTCCTCCATGTCTGGCTTAGCTACTGGTAATCCATAGGAGAGGTTTTTATCTTGGTTCATATTAACAGCGAGTTCCTATGCTTTATCCTCCTGCACCAACTGAGATTCCTTCCTTTTGTGGGAGGGGGGAGCATTTAAATGTGTTCCATTCTTGTAAACATTCAAATATTCTTGACTCTAACTTGTTACCTCTGTCAGCCTTTCCCAAGTTCTAGCCATTGATTTCCTTATTCCAGGAAGATTTTAAAAACAGTCATTGGGAGTTGGCAAGGTGGTAAGAGTCCTTGCCATCAAGTTCGTGGCCTGAGTTTGTTCCCAGGACCCACATGATTGAAGAAAAGAACCAACTCCCAAAAGTTGTCCTCTGACCTCCATACTTGTACAGTTCTGGTTTACTTGTATAAACTAGAAGTCGCCACCTTGCCAGGTCCTCAGAAAATCTGACTTCCCCAACAGAGTAGTTGCTTCATTTTATCAAGCTGTAGAAATCAGCCTGTGCTGTCCTAGACAGAACACAGGGTTTCGGTGAAACCTCTCATATTTGGGACTCTAGGTACACTGTTGAACATTGTTTCTCGGTCATCTGGACCTCTGGTTGTCCCTCTGTTCCTTGCCCGATTCTAGCGCCTTGTCTGTTTTATAATCTGAACTGTTGGTGCTAGACTTACTTATTCGTGGGATACTTGACGCATCCTCTCCAAATTAAGACAGATTTATACATCTGAATGCCATCTTATAATTTACAGATGGGGCCTCATTTTGTGTTTTAGAGAGGGTCTTGCTGTGTAGCCCAGGCTGCCTTCAGCTTGGGATCTCCAGCCTCAGCCTTCTAAGTGTTTTTACCGCCAAGCCCAGACCTAGCTTAGAGTTCTGTCCTGAACTACCTAGTCACCCAGATGGCCATGACCAGCGTCTTGTTTCTGGACAGCCCACCTGTGAAAAGCAAAGGAAGAAAAGGTTAGTAAATACAGGATAAAACCGGATGGAGCTATAGTTGCTGCGATCGATTCTCCTTTAAACATATGGTGTATATAGGAGCATATCCCTTCTGAGGATTGAAACCAGTTGTATACTTCTTCAAATCAAAGGTATCAAGAAGCATTCCGAGGCCGGTGGTACCGGAGCATCACTGCTGCCCCGCCCCAGTCCTGGGGTTGGGGTGGAGGAATTATGCATAAAGATATACAGCTTTCGCCAATCAGGGCCATTCTATTGCATATAAAGTCACTGTGAACGTTGAATTAGTGATGAAACTGTTTTGTTTCTTTTGAGACAATCTAACTCTTAACAATCCTCCTGTAGTAGTTGGGATGAGTGAAGCTATGTAACAAGAACTTTCTCTATAAAGCTTTCTGTGCTTACGAATATTACACCACATTTCAGCACTACCCATGGGAGCCATTTTTAAGCAGTAAAATCACCACCAAAAGACACAAAAGGGCAAAAGCCACGACATTAAATTGATCGTGAGAACACTTGTTTCTGAGGGCTCAAGCAAGGAGGCAATGTCACAGTGTTCTGCCTCAGCTGGGGACATGGACATAGAAACCACTTTGCTGCTGTTCTGTGGACTTCCTTAAAAAAAAAAAAGTGTTGTGAGTGTGGACTTGGGTTACAAATAAATGTTAGTGAGTAGGTATATTTGCAAACATAGGCTCTTCAAATAATGAAGACCAGCTGTACCTGGTATGGCCTTTCCCTTAGTATGTGGTAGACTAGCCAATTTCAGTATTTTAGTTTCAGAGGGGTTTCCAGTTGCCTTGGGGAGTATAGTCTTATTTGAATACAAAGGTTAGAGACTATTCAAATGATGATTTCTAGGACCTAGAGAGTATTAAGAAAAAACAGGCCGGGCGGTGGTGGCGCACGCCTTTAGTCCCAGCACTCGGGAGGCAGAGCCAGGCGGATCTCTGTGAGTTCGAGGCCAGCCTGGACTACCAAGTGAGTTCCAGGAAAGGCGCAAAGCTACACAGAGAAACCCTGTCTCGAAAAACCAAAAAAAAAAAGAAAAAACAGGCCTGGTGGCACACATCTTTGATCCCAGCATAGGCAGGCGGTATCTCTGAGTTCAAGGCCAGACTGGTCTACAAAAACCCTGTCTCAAAACAACAATGAATTAAGAAAAACAAAGCTGCCTTGAGAAGCTGTGGATTTATTCCACGTAAGGCTGGCTCACATTAACTTTCAGACTGCTGCTGCTGTTGCTCAGACTCAGTGCAGTCAACATTACTACTTGGAAGTCGAGATGTAATGAAAGCTTCAGGAAATTGCTGAGCTTATTTTGGGTGGGGGGCAGCCATTCTAGACATCTAGAACTGTGTGCATGAAAACAGTAACTTTCAGAGTAGAGCCTTCCAGAGACATTTAGAGTGGTCCCATTGTAACCAAACCAACTCACCATCAAATGCTTGCCCAAGTTTTTACATAGACAACCGCCTGTGTTCAGGAGATGGGCCTGAGCAGAGAAAGGGCTGAGATCCTCATGTGTCCAGACTGGCTGGTCAGAATTGTTGGTGTGGGGTAATGTGATGAGCACAATTTTTAAAAATGCCTTTTAAGACACATATATAGAAATAGCTTAGGAACCGTGGGGTTCTCCGCTCACTTAGTCACGTGTCTGGTTATCTTGAGTAAATGATGTCACTGGATCATTTACAGGTTATCAGGTGGAACCTTGGATGTATTGGAGTTCCTAACTAAGCTATTTCTATATGTCTAAAAGGCATATTTATTGGACTCATCACAGGTAGATTGTAGGATTTTGAATTGGTAAGCAACAGCAATTTTGGTTTTTGTTTTTGAGAGCATCCTCCCATGTAACCCAAAGTTGCTCAAACTCATAACAGCCCAAGAAGTGGGATTACAGGCTTGGGCCACCATGCCCCACTAACAACAGCAATTTTTAGGAGTCTACTATCTTTCTTCCTCTGGGGTTTCCAGTCAAAGGGATGGGGGAGGTGTGGTGGTGGTAACGTCTGGCTACTCTCCTAGCTTTCTCCTCTAGTTCACATAATCAATTTCTAGGATGTAAAATTTTCCCTCGTTCCACTTCACCACCCCTGTAGCCTTGATTCTTGCTCACATGCCATTTCCTGTTGCTAAGGCCTGTTATTCCTGGCCGCCTTGGTGGTTGGCCTGGGAGGTACAGAGTTAACCCAGCTGGAGCCTGACCCTGTTTGAGGCATTGCCTACACTAGGTTAGATTGTGTGGCCTCCTGTGGGGAAACACTTTGGGGAACAACAGTAGCTTTGATACGAGTGGAACTCTGGTACATTCAATATCTTTCTAGCCATCTCCTTCTAGTGTGTGTTTTTATTTCATTCCAGGGATAAACAGGTACAGAAGGCTTGTTGTTTTGTATTTGTTGTTATGGTAGCCCCACCCCCTTTAGTTTGTCCAAGCACATTGGTCTTCTTTTCCTAATGCTGCCGCTGTTAACCATTTATTGCCTAACATAACTGTACCGTGCTCTCGGGGTGCTAATTATATTTTGACGGCAACCCTGACGTACCGCTAACAAGTAGTAAAGAGTAACTAATCCAAACCAGAGTGCAATTAGGTGCCCAAATACATGGCTCAAGGGCTAGAATCTCCAGCCTTGAAATTGTGAAGCCTGTGTGGCCCAGAAAAGTAAGGACGAGGTCTTGGCAGAAGCTCTTGTCCCTCTCTCCCACAGGCACACACCTTCATCTAGAGAGACACTTGCTCGCCCTTCACCCCTCAACTTTTGACTCCTGCCTTCCTCTCTTGTGTCAGAAAGCCAGAGCAGGGAAATGGGGGAGGGGGCGTGCCGCTCGCTTCCTCACTGGTTTATGTCCCCGGCAGTCTGGGGGAGGTGCTGGACGAGCGGCCCCAGTCCAGCTGCAGCCGACCCATGTCCGGGGCCAAGCCCTTTGCTCTGCAGCTTTTCACTAAGTCCCGAGGCTCTGGAGAGTGGGCGTGGGAGTAGCCCTAGCTGAGGCTCCAAGGTCCTCCCGGCTGTTTAGGGGGCCCCAGGCGATAGCCACGTTCGGATCCTGGCTAGCAGCCAGGGGAGGGAGCTTGGGGTAAGGGGAGGGCCCTGAGGGAGGGGTCAGACTCCTTAGGAAAGAGTTAATGCGGAGAGGGGGAGGGGATAGGACGAGGAGACCGAAAGGAAGGGCTCAGGTAGGAGAAGGACGGAGGAGGGGAGGCTGGCGGGGAGAAGGTGGCTGGCAGGAGCAGACGTCAGAGGTAGGGGGCTTTCCCCCTTTGCACCCTCACCGCAGAGCAGCCAACTCTAAACCGCAGCGGCGACTTTCAGTTTCATTTCCACGGACCCTCCTGCCTGGGCCGCAGCCGCCGCCGCCGCGATGCCCAGCAAGTTCAGCTGCCGAAAGCTCCGGGAGGCTGGCCAGAGGTTCGAGAGTTTCCTGGCCGAACGGGGACTGGACCTGGAGACAGATCGCGAGCGGCTGCGGGCGGTTTACAACCGCGACTTCAAGCCCAGGTACGGGCCGGCCCACCACGGGCCCCAAAGGCTCGGGGCCAGCGCCGGGGCGGTGGGGCCACCTTCCCGCCGCGGACGCACAGGGATGCAGCCCCGGGCCGATCGGGCCGGGCCGGTCCTGGCAGACCTCCTCCCGCGCCTGCCCACGCCCAGCCAGCGCCACCCCGAGCCCGCCCGCTCTGCACAGCCCGGCCGGGCGGGGAGGGGTCGGTGCCCACGCGCGGCCAGCAGCAGCCGGGGCTCAGTGGTGGGGGAGGGGAGCCCCACCGGGAAGGCGCTGCAGGCGCGGGCTAAGCGGGGATCCCCGCCCCCTCGTGGAGGGGCGCCTGCCCCCAGGGTCCACGCTCCGGGAGAGCTGAAGAGGCCCAGGGTAGGAGGGAGAATCTCGGGGAGCTTCAGGGAGAAAAAGAGCACAAACTGCGTAGGCAGTCAAGCCTCCATTAGCACCTGTGGCTTCTCCATGGAGACCCAGGGCCAGGGACAGCCTCCTGGAGGCCCCTTTTCCCCCATGGCTGGAAGATACTTGGTTTCCTTTTCCTGTTACCACCCAAGTGAAAAAAAATCAAAGAGACTTCTGTCAAACCATAGACGTGTGCTTCGAAACACCTCTATCAACAGGCTGCTGCCTTGGATGGAAGACGAAGAAGCAGTTTAATTGGGATGGGTATAAAGAGTTGCACTAATAAATAGGGAAATGGGATTGGGGCTTAACAGATTTTGAGAGACTTTGAGTTGCAACTGACCAAAATGCCTGTATGGGTGAGATATGACTGCTGTGATTTGGGGCAAATCTTAGAAGGATTTAGTAATGGCAGCGTGGCCTGGGGTTAGGGGAGAACGTTGAGGTTGTCCATATTGACCGGAATATTAGTTATTAATGAATTAGTTATTAATGAACATATGTCTTGAAAGGAACATTAAGGGGTTGAGCAGCTTCTGAAAAAGAGGCCAAGACGATGCTGACCTGTTTTGTGCTCCACGTTGTGCTGGGCACTGTGGGAAGGTGAAAACTAAGCCGTGAACAACAAAGGCTGTGATCCGCATGCAGCATATAGTCTGTAGTATACTCTCCAACAGGGTGACGTGACGATGCTAGAGACAGTAAGGAAAATGCTGAAGGAAAGCAAAGAGCCTTTGTCAACACTTCCCTACCCACGCCTTCACCTGTGTCCATAAAGCACAGTGCGGCTCTGAACCCAAGTCCATCCAGTACTTTGGCAGTGGGGGAGAGCGCTTAACTTCAAATACGCCGAATTGCTAAGGATTCACAGGAGATGGAGACGTCAGTGCATTGTTTGCTGAATGGAAACATCACACACTAAGAGCAGTTCTTGCTATAGGCAGACCAGAGAGTTCGTATCAAAGGTGAAGGTGAGAACGTTGATCAGATCATGAGAGCAGGGGTGTTTCTCACTAACCTAAGGTAGGCTTCTTTTTAAAACTGAGATGGGCAGGCCTAAAGCTAAGGGTGTAGGGAGCCAAGCTCAAGGCCTAGTCAAGAAGAGTGCTCAGGGGACTGACTCAAGTTTACCTTGGAGTTTGTCAGCGCCAAAGCTGGTAAATTGTTTCAGTGCCTGGCAGAAGGCACCTATGGTGGGTTACATACAAAAAAAAACAAAACAAAACTATGTGTGATAGATATTGTTTATTTTAGCTGGTTTTTTTACTGCCTAGGCTAGCCTCAAACTTCTGAACTCCTGCCTCAGGCTCCCAAATCCTGGAATAGCAGATTTGACATAAACCACCACCATTCCTGGCTGCTATAACGTGTTGGATTTTCTCTTTCTTTTTTGTTGTTGTTAGGGTTTGGTGTTCTAAGATTTATTTTATTGATGTGTGCATGTGCACACTCTATGTATGGAGGTGCCCACAAGAGCCTAAGGAGGTCATCAGATTCCCTCCCTGGAGCTGGGGTTACCGGCGGTTGTGAGCTGCTCAACACAGGTGCTTCAGAATCTCACTCCAGCCACTGAGCCATCTCTCCAATTCCGTTTGGCTTTTGAGACAGGATGTCACGTACCCCAGGCTAGACTCGAAATTACTATGTAGCCAAGGCTGACCTTGAATTTCTGATTTCTCCTTTCTCCACCTCTTGTGTACTAGGATTATAGGCACACCCCATCACAGCTGGGGTTTGCTCCTATTTTTTTTTTTTTCAATTTATTTTGCAGTGCTGGAGATTAAACCCAGGGCCTTGCATTTGCTAGGCAAGCAAACACTCCACCACTGAACGGCATCTGTAGCCCTAAGGTAATTGTTACTGTATGCACTTGTATTTTACCCAAATAAAACTGGGAGACTGGCCTTGGCCTTGAAGGAAAGATAAAGTTTTAGTGCAACAGGAGGAAGAAAGCCTGAGTGTGGGTTTATATCCTATCATGAGACCTACTCAACAAAACTGAGGAATATTTGACCGTCATGGTGCGTACAATGTTCCGCAAGTCACTCGAAAAAGCAGAAGTAGTGTGTTTTATCAAGTACCCCTCTCTCCCAGCTGGCGGAGATTTCTGCTTGGATGGAGACTAAGTTTTCTGTGTATCCCCCACCCCTTTTTAATAGTTTTTTGTATCCCAAACTGACCTTGATGACCGTGAGCTTTTACTTCTCCAGTACTGGGAGTCTACCCCTGAGGGCTTTGCGGGTGCTGGGCAAACACTCTACTATGAACTGGACTCCATCCCCGGCCCCTCCTGTGCAGTGAGTGTGTGTGTGTGTGTGTGTGTGGATTGAGCCCGTGTCGTCAGGTTTGCTGACACAAGGCCATTCCCCCTTCAGCATCTCGTCGGCCCCACGATGTGTTCTTCACAGCCAGACCCTGGTCAACTGCTTCTTCCTGTAGATTCTCATAGCTTACTCTTTCCACATTGGGGATAGCCTGTTTACAACTGAAGCACACTGTGCTTCTCATTGGAACTCTCCCGCTGCCTTTCCCGGCACACCGTCAAGGCCCCTCCCTGCCTTTAGTCCTGTGTGTCTCAGCTCTCAGTCCTCAACGTAGACTGTGTGTAGTAGATGTCCAGTACATGCTTGCAGAATCCAGTTGAATTCCAGTTGACCCGAGAGAATGGGCTTGAGGGAACATAGCAAGTCGCCCTTCTCAGGAGTTCTCGGACCGCCCTACTAGGAAGAATAGCTGCTTTCCAGGTGGGTGACTTTGTATGAAGTGAACAAGAGGCAGGAGCTGGAGCCAGCAGGAGGCCATGGAGGGAGTTGGTTTTGTTAGTTTTTGTTTTTGTTTTTTGTACATGGGGATGAAACCCAGGACCTTGCACAGGCAGGCGAGTGCTCTCCACTTGAGCTCCTTACTCCAGCTCTTCTGCGGTCAACCTTTTTTTTTTTTTTTTGGTGGGGGAGGGCAGTAAAGCAGGGTCCTGCTAGGCGGGCCCGAAACTCATTGTGTAGCCCAGATTAACTTCAACTTTGAGACAATTCTTTTATCTCAACCTTTGGACAATCCTGCCTCAACTGCCAGAGTGCTGCTGGGACGATAGATGAAAACCTTCGTTTCAAAAGAGAAGAACTGGCAGCCTGCCCAATGGCCCATGCCTGTAATACCATCATTTGAGAGGGGACAGGATGAGCAGGAGTGTAATGGTGCCCTTGGCATATAGCGAGTTTGAAGCCTGCCCGGGCTATATGAGACCATGTCTCAAAAAAAAAAAAAAAAAAAAAAAAACAAAAGCACCTCGTGCCCAAAGTTCAGGGAACATCTTAGAAGAGGGGTCGCAAAAAGTTAAGAGCAGGAAGCCAGGATGGGCGCTGTGAAGGGACCTTGAACTCCGAGTGGCTCTGGTTACCTCCACAGCATTTCAGCAATGGTGGGGAAGGAGGTCACGAGGCCCCACCCCAGCTGAGGACTTCAGTGGAAGGTGGTGGCTGCTGGAGAAGGGAGGGTCGGTTTTCTCTTGGGGGCAATGGCAACTGGTAGGCTGCCCATGCTCCAGAGGTGGCACCACATTCATGTTGATGTGGGATTCAGTGAGGAGTGTTTTGAAGGCGGGGAGCAGTCTGAGGAGGTAGCTCAGCTGGAAGGTACTTCTTGCCTAGCCTGACAACTGAGTTCGAGCCCAGGACCTATTCTCACACACACACACACACACACACACACACACACACACACACACACACACACACTAAAGAAAAGTGAATGTTTAAAAAAATTTAAATAAAGGAACATGAAATTGAGAGGAAGATGTGTGGATAGAAAATTCAGGGAGTTGGAGGTGGAGTGGGGGCATGGATATGACCAAAATATATGAAATTCTCAAAGAGTAAATAAACCATTCATCAAAAGTTGGGGCTGGAGAGATGGCTTGGGGGTTAAGAGCACCTGATGCTATCACAGAAGACCAGGGTTCAATTCCCAGAGCCCAGAGCTCATGACTGTCTGTAACTCCAGTTCCAGGACATTGTGACACCCTCTTCTGGCCTCTGCAGGCACCAAGCACATCAGAAGTGCTGCACAGACATACATGTAGCAGAACACCTATTCACGTAAAATAAAAACAGATCTATTTTTAGGACTATCAAAAGCAGATCAACAAGATAAAATAGACGGATAGAGTCAAGGTTTTATAAATATAAATTCTTGGCTTTTTGCATGGAGGATGGTTTGTATCTTCCTCAGTATCCCCAGTGAAACCTGCACTATACTTGGTGGCCAAGTAGTACACACAATCCCTAAAACTGTGTCTGCCTGATACAACAATAGCCATACATTCGATCCTATTTTTGACTATTGACAGTGTGTATGTGTGTGTGTGTGTGAGAGAGAGAGAGAGAGAGAGACAGACAGACAGAGACTACTAGGTCTATGTAACCTAGGTTAGTTTCAAACTGGCAACAATCCTGCCTCAGCTTCCTAAGTACTGGGATGGAGGCATGCTGGCTCATGTCTGTAAAATGCAGTGGTTGAGAGGTAGAGGCAGAAAGAGCACACAGGTTTAAGGCTAGCCTGGGTTACATAACTAGGCTTTGTCTCAAAAGTCCTAAAATATAAA